CTGTCAGACAAGTCGCGTCGATTCGGTCTGCATTAGCATCCGTCCCAGAGACACAAGACATATGCTCATCAATAGCATCGTCATCACACAACACTGTAGACTGGCTGTTACCATCAAACACTTTCTTCTCATCATCACTCGACTGACAGTCAACCGGAATAGGAACAGTTACAGTTGCACAACCTTGTGCATCTTCGATCAACTTAACATTCGTGACGAGGTCCAATGACGTCGAAACACTAGAAGGCTCGTTCGATGAAGTTGATAGACTAGTCACTATAAGTGGACTGCTGACACTTTCTATCTCCTTATTATCACTGTCACTACTAAGGTTCTGATGACTACTACTTCTATTGCTAGTCATAGCATCCGAAAGAGAACGAAGTTTACACTTCTTAATATTAGTAGCATCATGTTGTTTCTTATGCTTCTTAGCTTGGGTGGCAGTACGCAAGCGTAACGTACGATCATTTCGACGACGATGAGCGTCCTTTAACTTCCATAGATCACTATTACCCGCCGTACTACCAATGCTATTATCATTGGTAGTCGCATCTGTACAAGTAGCAATACACTTCTCATGATAACCAGTCGACTCATACACAGTATCCAACTTTAATCGATCAACAATACTTTCATTACCAGGAATGCTCTTAACCTCTTCTATCTTATCACTGTTGGTAGTGCTCATCCCGATACCTGTAGTACGAGTCAATGATGGTGAAGTGCGACAGGTGGACAATTCCATGCTTGATTCCTCATGCTGCATATTCAAAACAACAGCATGTCCATTAAACCTAGATGACTCCTCATTGCACCTAGGGTACCGAATGTTAGCATTCTCAGTACTGCCATCACTATAGCTAAAGCTATTGCCACCGACGCCTACGTTCTCCACTCTCAAACATCCAATTTCGTCTTGATTCGAAGTACTCAAAGAAGCTACATTAGCAGCGTCAACCGACGAAACAGCACTACCTATAATGATTCCACTATCGTTACCATCTCGTTTATTATTCACATCAATTACACTATTAATAGATACATGGGGTTTCACCTCCACCTTGACGTTATTGTTGTCGACAATGATGTTCCGACTATTCACAGTTAATGACGAGTTGCGAGATAGTTGGCATGCAGGCTTCAAAGCTACGCTACCACTTTCACTAACACTATCAATGTCGATATGACTACTTCGACTAGTATACGACCGTCCATCCGTTGACCGTAAACAAACATCAGCAGGACGCGCTAAGCAGCTATTATCTTCCGCTTCAATATCATGATGCTCCATAGAACTAGATATAGTAGCCTGCAGACATCCTGATTGCTCAGCAACATGAAGTGCTGTGTCACTATATACACTTGTTGTCCTAGGATCAACTCTAGGTCCTGTTAAATAATTTACGTTACGTGAAAGGTTCCGAACATAAGCTTTATTCCATACAGTCAAACCTGTTTCGTCTCTGTTCTTATTCACTAACCTCTGTTTGCTCGAATCCAAATAACCGTTCCAGGCTTTTCGAGCAGCTAAGAGGCTTTTATCATCACACACTTCGGATCCATCTTGATGCCTACACTTTTCACCTTTTTCTTTCTTTTCCATACTTAGAAAAGCCATCTTATCTGTTACACCAACCGGCTTCTTGCTAGGACACGCATCAAGAGGTTTTACATCGTTACGGTCACATACTCGTCCTTCATCAGCGTATGCTTTCGTGATATAATTGACAAATCTCTTATCTTCCGAGCGTGCTTTAGGTAGAAACGAAGAATCCTCATGTCTCACACGCAGACCACTAGTAGCTTCCGTATTATGTTCTGTTTTAGCCTGATAAGCTAATCTTCCAAACCTACTACTAGCTATCTTAGCACGAGACATAATAAATTCCGTCAATTCGTTAAAATTAGGCTCTCTCTCCTCTTCGTCCCACTTGAATACTAGCTCTGCCCACTGGGCTTGCATTCGACGAGGTAAGAGCCTGACTATTCGTTCTAAAGTAACCATGGAATTAAGTTCCGTTGTGCAATTTAGCTGTTCTAAAGTTAAAGCAGCATTCTGCATTTTAATAGCCAAGTTCGTCAATAATTCAGAATCATTAAATTCTACATTCCCAGTTCTAAATAAATCCTCTAAGGTTTCTCGGGCTATTACATGCGACTGTCCAAAGAGCTGTTTTAAAATGGCCTTAGCTCTCTTATATCCTGCTTGTGGATCCATAATCATACAGCCTTCAATCGCATTTTTTGCTTTTCCTTTACAATAGTATGACAAATATGACAACAACTGGCCCTTGTCAGACAGTTTACTCTCTATAATGCTTGTAAACTGACTAATAAAACGGTGGTACTGGCTAGGTTGTCCGTCAAAAAACATCATATCGATTTTAGGCAAAACTGTATTATTAACCGTAGCACGTAACGTGTCCTTTAATTCATCAATACAACCGCATTTTGAGGCGTTAATTACCTTATTACGCTCAATATCACAATCCAAATACCTTTCGACCTTAGAATTTATCTCAGCTTTGTCTACTGACAGTTGGTTATCGTTTTCTATGAGCTTACATTCTAATTCAGCCATATCAACTTCCTCTTGAAGCTCTAACATTTTAAGCTGCTTTTCTAACTCAAGTCTCTTTTCCAAATTCTTCTTCTTAATTAATGCCTTATCTAACTTAAATCTAGAAGTACTAAACTGAGATGAAGACTTTCTATTAACACTAATATCATCAAGTTTATCATCATTAACATCAGACATACCACAAACAGCTTTAGAATATTTACCATCCATTTCGTCCTGCTCCTTCAGCCTTTTGCTTCTAGTTTCCATTGGATGCTTTTGTTAGAAATCGATTACCAAGCAAATATGAAATTATTCCAAACGTATTCGCCAATAATAACAAAATGTCCAAAAGTATCCAAAAGATAACCAAAGAACCAAAACTGAATTGTCCAAAGTATCCAACGACCAAATTAAAAGTTAGAACTTTTGGACCCAAATTTCCAAAAGTTTCCAACGACCAAAATTTGAATTGAAGAACCTCTTTGCCAAACGACCAGAAATGCAATATATGACGAAATTAAATTAGAACTTTTGGAGCCAAACGACCAGAAATCCAATATATGACGAAAATAAATTAGAAGAACTTTTGTTACGTCCAGTTTTTTGCTCGTTGATCTTACGAAGCACGGTTGTCGACTATTTGTAATTCACGGTCCCAAAATGTTTAGACCAAGAACGAAACTCCAAAGTAGATACCAAAGTTTATTCCAAATCACAAATTCCACCAAAATACTGTATTACAAATAGACGACCAATGTCATTCTTCTAATTTATTAGCTCTTGGAGCAAAAAACTGCAAACGAACAACAAAGAGAAACGGGAGTCCAAAATGTCCGCAAATAATAATTCAAACAAGTTCACAAGTTAAGTAAAACAAATGTACCCAAAAACAGTGAAATTAATGATATTTATACATGAAGGTTTTGATCAGCAAAATGTCTTCGTTTCTCCCGTAACAAACAGTGAGAGCACAGAAAAGCCCTAAGTATCTCTTAAGGTTCATGACCAGAAAAACGCTCGCATGATATATGTGCTTTCAAATGTCCTAATAATGCAGATCTTATCAGCTTAGAAAAAGCTGAGCTTTTTATTGACCAATTGAACCAGATACCTACAAACTCAGTTGCAAACCCTCTCCAAAAATAGTTGTGACTCCACCTTGAAATTCACAATGTTGTCGTACCCACTCTCTTTATAAAAAATTTAAATCTAGTAGATCGAGCAGCTAAGTTAGTGATAGCGTTTAGGAATAAATCTTACGAAGGCAGAACTTAACACATGAAATTATTCTCTCCGAGTTTCAAGAGTTTAAGCGGCGATCTGATAATGGCGTACAACATATTGAGTACACCGAATTACCGATACACAAGCATACTGGCAGAGCATCACCACGACGAACTTTGAGCAGTGACCATCCAGATATGAGCCTACCTTTTCTTATTAGGTTTTGTCCAATTATGGAGTGCTCTTCCAAGACGAAGTGACCACAGCCACTCAGTGGATGTCATTAAGAAGAGACTTGGTTAAAATATATACGCACACGGATTATCATCTTCCTTCTGAACCAGTTCTGTCTGGTGCACATCACGAAACTCAATTGTTGTTATCGGTATCATTTCATCAGATCACCTACTTATTCCATCTCACCTATTGTCATCTATGTTTCCTTTTTATCCCGATTCTTTGGTTCTTTAACTGTCTGAAATACTATTAACCTAGGTTCCTGAAACATTATTTTCAACTTATTATCAGCATTCTCTCTTTATTATTCATCATACTGCAACACACTGATCTCCGACCTAGTATTTTGATAGCTGTTGATATTCTGAAACCCTGATACCCTGAGACAGATGCACTCACTCAAATCTGAGAACATGAAGATTAGCAAGTAACTGCCAAATGACTTAAGTTAGTACAGTCGATTGGCTGGTTTTCCATCCGTTTCACTTTACTGAATACCCGAAGCCATACCGAAAGAACAGTGGTGAGTAACACATTAAACATGCCGAAACACCCCAAAGTGAGCATCTTGCCGAAGCACCAACACTATAACCCTCGACATGATCCTCAAAAAATTACTCATCGAAGAGCGAGTACCTAGGATCAAGCATACTTTTTCTCATTAAGGATTATCCCGGCCTGAAATTTCCTCTCAGCCGGTGACTACAGTCTCCTCAGTAGATAGCCCCAATAAAAGACCTAATAAACATGTACTTACGTACAGATTATCATCTCCCACTTGGACCAGCTGTACTTGATGCATGTCTGGAGACCTGCTAGTTGTTATTATTGATATTTCCTTAGATCACCAACTTATTCTATTTCGCTTATTATCTCTGCTTTCTTTCCCTCACTTACACTTCTTTCCTCTCGCACGATAGTTACTACCAAGAAAATCAACTGGTTGATACTAGCTCGTGAAAAAGATATTGGATATTGGAACTGTTGTTGGTAATCTGAAGTTTGAACTCAGTACATGCGTGTTTTTGTACCGTAGATGTTACCCGCTCTAGTTCATTGAAAAACGTTATATTTGTACTTAACTTTACCTTTCAGTACACCATACTACAATTTCAAACTTCTGCTTAGGAACGTGCACACAGTACTGTCTTTTCACCTCGGTTTGTCGTGTCTTTAAAAGTGGAAAGAAACTAAGTTACGAATGGATTCAAGTAAGTTGTAGATTGATTCCTGTCTTTTCTTTTATTATCTGAAGCTGTTGGTTTCAAGCTCTATTAAATTTTTCCTGCTTTTTTGGTCTAGCGGTGCCCATTTGACGCATTTATACGTGGTAAATTAGTGCATAGAGCTAATTGCAGCATTATCAATGAAGTTACTAATAAAGGTGGCGCTCAAGTGCTGCAAGCTAATCTAGATTATTCACGTGATTGTTGTTTCTTATCAACGTAACTGAATATGCGACTTTGTTTCTGGTACACCTAACGACTTATAAAGCATTTTTTTTTACTTTATCATAGTAACCCAGGAGTTTAATGACTATGATTCATTACTGTTCGCTTATTTAAGCTTTATATCAGTATGAATTCTGATGAGAAAATTTTCGGAAGAAAATTCAAGAGTTGTTTACTACAGTTTACACAACGTTATTAAGATTTACTTGAGTTGTGTGCTTGCCACATGCCTCTACCTGAAATCTTTCATATTTGGAGGATAGTTTTCAGTGGATTACCTCAGGAAATGACCTTTTGTAGTGACTAACTTTGGAAGCCAAATATCCCTACACTTTTATACTGTAAATTATGAAGTGGCTTAATCATACTGTTTTTAACACAGTAACCATTGTGGGTGATAAGTTGTCCTTTCTTTATCTTCCAACCAGGTTCGAATTACTCAACTGAAACCATAAGTAATTTAAAAAGCCAAGAATTACTTGAATTTCCTTGAAGTATGCTGGATTAATAGTCCACTTCTAAAACTTACTGCTGGAAGGAGTATATGCGACCTCACTTGACCCATTCAAAAGAAGACCGGACATCTATAAAAAATTTCCTTAAAGTCGGACAATGCTGACATCTAATCCTCTGTTCTACCCTGAGATTCGTCCCCAACGGTGATTTAATCGATGGTATATCATCCAATATTCGTATCCAGCTTTCAATCCTATCCTTTTGTGTTCACAGGCTAGTGTTCACATGATAACATGTAGATCAAATTAAGGGTCACAGTTAAATTGCCAGTGATCAATATTCGCGAAACTGTCTTTTTATGTAGTAGATTTTGTATATCAAGGGCAGTAATTTTTCACCTAAGACATTATTCGTCATTAAAACTAATGAAATTGACCATTTAAAGTTACTCATTGCAGCTTTGTGAAATAACAGTATTACGAATATGAAAACGCTTCATGTCTGTTGTGTTATAATCTTAATATTAAATCATACTTCTGCTTGGTACATTATGCGACTTAGTGGTTTAAATGTTTTACTGTCAGCAGTTCATATATATAGGCCTTGTCTATCAAGTTGGGTTTAGTTATTCGAGTGGTATTTCATCCTCGCATGTTAATTAGCTCGGAACATGGCCTACAGTCCTTTTAGTTGATTATTAAGTTACCTTTTCCCCCAAGGTTCATGCTTCCTTGATGGCTAATATAATTTCCAATGCTTGTTTATAGTGTTGCTAGTTTGATCGCTTAGTAAACTTTTTGAAATTTTCACATCACTTAGTTACAGATATTATTTATTGGCGTGAACCAATCAAGTCGGGTATTGTTGCCGCTGTTGTGTTAACGTTTTTGCTGAGCTTGTCCTGCATGTCATTAATTTCCGTTATTGCTTACGCTGGGCTTGCTTTATTTTGCTGCACAGCAGCTTGCAAACTGTATAACGTCGTTCTGGGTTCAAATAAACAGCAAACATCCAACGACTCCAACCATTCATTTCAGTATGTTGAACTAAGCTTTTTCATGTATTTACTTAATTATTTAAACACAGACATTGGTCCAAAGGGGCACCTAAATGTTAATGTTTCGCACAAGTTATTGAGTTTGCTTGGATGCCTAGGTGGTTTGTTTAGGAGACCACACCCCGAGTCTTTGACGTAAAAAATCTAATCCACAAGGTTGTGGAACAACGTTAGTGGATGCAATCCCACGCTAACCAGTGATCCATAATATGTTCATGTGCCCTTCCTTCCATTAGGACCCTGGAGCCCATGTGCAGCATTGTTTCTGACTCTTAGGTGAACGCTTCGTACCCACCGACCGGATTAAGGCTCCAGAAATTCGCTTTCCGTCCTCTGTTTGTTGAACAACACCACTGCTACTAGAAGGCATAATAGGAATTCCTTGGTAGTGGCGATTTACGCATGACCATATGATAGCGTTTCGAGAAGAGAAGCAAACTCCACACTGTCAGCCGTAACAGTGCATATATATATATATATATACTCACCTAGCTAGATTGTGAGCTTCCGTTGTTAGTGGAACCTAAGTAAATGCTCGGCCATTGCTTTCTTCTGTTAGTGTTTGGTGTGGTTGTTCGGAGACCCAAAACTCCGTCGATAAGGTCTCCTAAAACCGGTAAAAGGCTGAATGTACCTCACTTAATCAACATTGGGTAAAAACCTATAAAAATGTAGGGAAACCAAGGATGTTATGTAAAGACTGGGTTGAAGAATCACTCATACTAATTACCAGTCTTGGTATATGTCCAAAAATTTCTAGGTTAGGGCTCACCAATAAGCTTGTTTTTTGTACATAAATTAACATTGAATTCAAGTCCCTATTGTTACTGCACTTCTATTTTCTACTATTTGGAGCTCAAGTCAAGCAGTATTTGGGGAATCTAGAGAACTAGTATCAAGCTTTAAGCAGAAGTCACATCAGTTAAAAAACTCAATTATTTTAAAATGTTTGGGATCGCAAGTTGGTAGGCGGAAACAGGATTTTTGTATTTGCCTTCCAAGGTTAACGGTGGCAATAGAACTTGTCACTTATTTTACCAAGGACATTTCACTATCCTGAACCAAAGTTTGCCTACGTAAAACAAGCAGTCGTTAGAGACTTTGGATAACATTACTCTAGTTCATTTGCAATGTTCTCTTAAATTATAATTTGAATTCCTTTTTCAATTGATCCCATTGTGATATACTTCTCGAATCATATCGTCGATCCCTAATCTTTTCCATTACCGCCGATACTTCTACTAACTCTACTACTATGGAATTTGAATTGAAATTTCGATATCTCTATGCTAATGTGGTATGGCAACTTGAACTGATTTATGTATGCACGAAGTTCTACATTGTAGCTTACTGACTGACTGGATTGCTATAATTGTACATATTATTGACTATACAATAATCACGGCTTATGTACATTGATTGTTTCATCTATTATCTAAAACCTTCATGCCTACCACACCTCTACTATATAACACTTCTTTTTTCTTGACATATGCTTTAAGTTCCTGGTTTGAATATGATATTCGGTTATCTGAAGATAAGATTGCTCAGCGTGTTGCAGATGCATCTGAACAGTTATCTGAAAAATTAAATCATTTACGTCGCATATTATTGATGCAAGACTACTTTGAAACTGCCAAGGTAAATTTACTTTTTGATTTCATGTAGCCATAACAAACGAACATCGACATTTTGTCTAGTAGCGTAAATTGTTATAACTTCAAATATTTATTGCGTATTATTATCAAGATCATCGTCAATATTACCATTATTATTATTATTACTGCCGCTATTATTGTTACCATTATCATTATTTATCTATTTATTTTCATACTATGGCTTATGGTTTAAACTCGTACTGCTAGTTTGTGTTAGTTGCTAATCTACATTCATAATTTGTACATAGACCGGGGACAGCTGATCCTGCCTTCTCATTGGTGATCTTCTGAACTACCTTACTACTATCGATAAGCAACTTAAGTGACTTGAAAGCAGTGGTTTAGAAGACAGGTTTTACCTGTCTTTCACCGTTTAGATTTTGGATTTTGTTCCGATTCAGGGGTGACTGAAAGTTGGAAGCTGAATACTATCACGCTCGTGTAAAATACATGGATATTTAGAACAGAATATTTACTAACTGATCCTGTTAAACACTACCGCAACTCAGAACCCTAGAGTTGTTCACTGACTAGACTAGTATCTAGGTGATTTATTGAAGTTCAGTCAAAAATATCTCAGCTCGGGAAACCAAGTAGTAACTTTAACTCACAGAAGTGGAGTAAGCGGAATCTTAATTCTAAATCGATTAAAAACTTAACTGCTCCATGATTTTCTTCTTAAACTACTTAAGATTGGAACCCTGATATTAATGCCTGGTTGTTATTGGTCTGGAATTCCTATCTTCCGTTACAATATTAAGAAGAATATAATCAGTAATAAACCGTAAAGTGTGTGGAATAAGTTTAGTAAACGCTAAAAGTTCTTGATAGCGATTTCATATCAATGTTTTTGTTGTAGTTATTCATACCAAGTTTCTACCGTATTAATATAATTCAGTCGATTCAAACTGTTATCGTACCTCCCTTTTTTCTAGCTTGCGATTGGCTTGTACCTACTATCAATTGTAGGCGGATGGTTTAACTTACTTACGTTAATTACTATATGTGAGTTTAATATTGTAATCTTAAAAGATTCTCATGTAAATTAGACTTTATGATGGTTGTAATTACTGAGAAAAATCATAAAGAATTATTGTAATCATTAAGTTTTTAGGCAGCCACTTATGAAGTTCTCGCCGAGTCGACAATAACAGAACTTCGTATGTGTTTACATCAGTTCAGGTTGCCATACCACATTAGCACACAGACGCAATCTTCACTTCATATTCCATGGTGTTAGAGATAGTAGAAGTATTAGCAGTAGTCGGAAAGATTAGGGTTCGATTATATTATTCAAGAACTATAATGTAGTGAAACAAGCATAAAAAGAAAAAGACATAGGTGATGAAGAATCCAAAGGATTAGGATTTAAGAGAACACAGAGAATGAATCCACCTGCACCATTGCAAACGATTTTGAGCCATGTCGTTCAAGGTCTCTAGCCATTGGTGACTTTCGTCTGGCGGTCCCCAACCAGGTAGTCATGTTGGTAGGTGTCGACTCAGTCCATTTGATAGTGACTTCATGGATTTGTGCCATGTTTTAGTTTTGCCGCCCCTAGCTTTCTTCTAACCTATTCCTACACCGCAACACATGACTTGACGAAGCAATCGATGGTTAGGCATACACAACACATTTCCCATCCTATGCGTTGTCACGTGTGTGTGCAATTGCTTTTTATCTTATGTCGTGTATTGTATTTTCATGACCATAATAAATCCGAAAGTCCTAAATCACGTTTTCGATTCTGTTTATTTACTTTTGAATCGATATCACTAAATTACTTAGTTAGTTGTTTATTATTGAACACAAGCGTATTTAGAGCTAAGTCCCGTAGAATAACAAAGAGTTGGCTTAATGTTATTTTTCTTTTGTCACATCAGTTCAGTTAATTAAAATGTTTTAAAATTAGTACGGCATTAATGTATCTTTAGCTATCTCTGTTTTATAACTAAACAAATGCTACATTTTCGTTATGTATAAATAACACATTCTGTTGAAATAAGATATCGATTAAAGTCGTTGAAAATTACATCACTTCCCATTTTAGTCAAAAAGGCTAAACAAATTGATTAGTGATGTATGATTTATATGACATCTGTAAGATCTAGGACTATGAATACCAATGGTTCGTCATTGATGCGCCTCTTAATTTAGATGTACCAAACGGTGGCAAGTAGCAATAATTTTCGGGAAATAACGCAAAAAATGGTACATGAGAGATACTTTCGAAGTAAACACATCTAGTATTATCAGACTGTAGAACACTATCTTGAAGAGGGCAACGGTAATGAATTAAGTAAAATAACATGAGTTCATTTTATTTGGTAGGATTCTCATCATCCGCTTACAACCTATAATATTTTGAAAATCAGAGTTATTTTGAAGTTAGCATACTTATAACAATAAGAAAGGGTATTTCAACATAGTGGAGCGGTGATACCGAAGACAACGAGTGTTGTAAATGAATATAATATGAAAGAGGTCGTTAGACACTAACACGAGTTATAAAAATTAATTACCTGCCTATATAATGCAGTAGTTGAATCGTGAATTAAAAGCGACTAAGAATCACTCGAGTGACGATCAGTTAATAAACTGCAGTGAGTGTCCAGAATCGGGGTCTCCGGATTCAGTGCTCGAAGTCGTGGTTGACTATGAACACCACTACATACCAATTTTGTCCCCGTCACTAAGTGTAATGTTTCCGTGAATCAAGGACAGAGAAGAAGAGTTAATCCATACAAAGGAATATATTTGCTGGTGATTTCGTGGTATGGAAGGTATACTGAAATCGTGCCAGAGAAAAAGGGTGAAGTCACACGAGCAATATAACCAAAATGGCAGCAACACAAACGAAAGGTTGCACGTAGAGAGTAGGAATAAACGAAGAGTACAATAAAAATATCACCGGTATAATTGGTTATAATAATGAGTGTTTCTATTCATCCAATCGCGTTCTCTTGATAAAAGTGTAGTCACTGCTAAAGTTATGAATTTGAGAGAGGTGGTGCATTTGAAACGAGAATGAAGATTTATTTGTAGGATTGATGTACTAATGACCATGATAAGGAAATATTTACAACGGTTTCCTTTTGATTACGTAAGTCCAGATTGTGGAGTTTAATGGTCTCGGCTAATTTGAGAATAGGCTTCAACTGTCAGTTCATGTTGCTTAAGGATCTCAGTCTATCAACTTGATTCCCTGTGTCACATGTGCAGTAGTACTTCTCAAAGCCCTTAGTTCTCTTGACCTGAGACTTTTTGGTATTTAATATTCTTGTAATCTGACACCTATATAGTCGAGAACCAGCAACCTACAAATGTCTTCTACTCTTGCCGGCCATGTTTCACAACCATATAGTAGGACGGGGCAAACTGCTGCACAGTAGACTCGTCCTTTGGCTAGCAGACGGATATCTCGTCTACGCCATAGTTGGCGCAAGGTAGCAAAAGCTAATCGAAACTTTTCTATCCGTGTTGAGATTTCGTCAGACTTCAGGCCAATAACACGCTCGACTGCTTCTCTCCGTACCACTAGTTCAGATCCCGATACAACCCAATCCCGGAGCGGCGTTCCGCATTTCGACGGGGGAAACCTCATCCGAGACATGCTTGCATTGTTACTTAGAGTAGTCAGAAGACTGCATCTTATCAGCGTCTACACCAAGTAGAACTACGTCATCGGCATATTCTAAGTCAACTAGTGAATCTCTTAGTAGAAGGTCTTTTCCTGAAAATTCAGACGAAGATAATGTTATATCCAGAATCAAGTCTATGACAAAATTAAACAAGAATGGAGAAAGTGGACAACCCTGACGGACACCACTTGAGGTAATGAATTCGCCATAAGCTCTTACTCGACCTGTAGTGTTCGAGTAGAGAACTTGTATAAGTTTAACGTACTTGTTTGGTACACCTTTTAATGACAGACAGTACCGCAGGGCCTCACGACCAACAAAGTCACATGCCGCGTTAAGGTCCAGGAAGATAACTATTGTCGGACGCCTAAATGTCTGTCTGTGTCCCAGGACCTGTCGTAGTGTGAAAATGTGGTCTACACATCCACGTCCATGTCTGAAACTATCCTGGTTTTCTCTAGTGTGCTCTTCACGAGCTCTAGTTAGGTGTCTACGTATGGTCAAGTTTAACAATTTAGAAACTATATTAGTTAGACTGATTCCTCTGTGACTGTCACAGGAGGACTTTTGTCCTTTATAAATTGGGACAGTCAGGTATTTAGGCCAGTCGGATTACGCCCAGTTTCCAGATTCTACCTAAGATCTCAGTCAGTCTAGCTGTTAAAACTGACCCGCCATCCTAAAAAATCTCGGGACCTGATGCTCTCCCTCGCTTCGGATTTCCTGCAGGTTTCTCAACTTCATAAAGACTCGGACGGCTTACGTCGATTTGCCATTCAGGACGACTGGAGATAGTGGACAACCAAAATGTGGCTGAGGGCCGATTAAACTGATTCCTAAATTGTTTTTCTCATCTATCCCATCTCCTGGATTAAGAATGAATATCTCGGAAAAGGATGGGACTATTAGTCTTACTTACAGTCGGGTTCCTAATCCCGTTTTCCCTGATAAGCCTGTTTAGTTGCTCACCATTGCCTATCGCCGCTGCCTTTTTCATCTCCCTAGCTTTCGCTACTCACCGTCGTTCGCGATCATTGCGTAGGCTTTTTATCAACCTGCGCCTAAGCTGACTGCGTTCCTCATCGTACTCAGAGTCAGGCGGAATGAGTTTTCAAGCACCCATCAGTTCAGTAGATGCTATTGAGATCCACCAATTCTCTCCAACCTTTTGGTTTACCTTACCAGCAGATATCACTGGTGTCTCCATAGTGTTTTGGATATCATTCCAAGCTGTCACGAGATGGGCATCACTTACTACATGGCTGCCTAACTGTTTTTCTAGTTGTTCCTGAAATATATTCTTGTCTATTTTATCATTGAGTAGAACCCTATTAGGTTCTCCCGCGGTGTCTTTTCTGCCTCTAGTAAGTTTCAAACAAATATGCGCACGTAGTAGAACATGACCTGAATCTACACGGGTGCTCTAGAATGAGCGACAGTCTTCAATGGAGCTTCTCTATTGACAGCTGTTAGTTATGTGGTCTAATTGTTTACATAGTGTCGGCTTTGGGGACAGCCAGGCCAATAGATGTTTTTCCTTATGCCTAAGGTTAGTGTTTGCTAGAAATAGGCGGTTATCTGAGCGTAGTTGCAGCAGACGGCCTGCATTATCTGTTCTTTTAGCCGCGACACCATAAGATCCACACAAATGTCTTTCCTTTTCGCTTAGTCTACCTACTTGATCATTGAAGGCACCAGCGATTATTACTATATCAGAGCGCCTAACTTTTTGGAGGAGGCCTGAAAGCTTTCTGTGAAACGCACCTCATTTGATCTGCAGTCAGTGGGAGTGTAGGCAGATACGACGGGAAGGCGACGGCGAGTGTCCCTATTTGCTCTGTTTAGTCGGACAGCGCACAAGCGACTATCTACTGGGATCCAGTCTAGGAGAGATTGTTCAGCTCTACGACTCAATGCTATACCTACGCCAGCAAGACCCCGGGAAGCAGAATCAGGGCTTCCAGATACACGAAGAGTAAATCGAGCTGCTTCTTTATTTTATCAAATTATTGATTTCACTAGGATCCTGTATGCGCGTTTCCGAGACGCAGCATACATCGATGGCACGAGATTCTAAAGTCCTAGCTAAGGAAGCTTGTTGCCCTATTCGATACAATGTTCGTACATTAAAAGCTCCAACATGTAGTCTAGAACGGGGTTTCAGGAGACCAGGAATGACGTTTTGTGAACTCAAAGGGTTGGTCATGGAGATAAGAGAGTTATTAGGTGTAGAAAGGAATTGATTCTGACCAATTTGGCCGTGGCGCGTCACCTTTATGATTCACAAAGTATAAATACCTGAATTAAGGCCTGATTGTTATCATTCTGCATTGTTGGCGTTTTGCTTTCCTAAAGTGGACCTTCTTTCACTGTTACGATAATATAATAGCAGAATCAAAGTGATTATTTGTTTGTTACAGTACAGCGATAGGAAACTAATGAGAGGAAAGCAATAAATTAATACTAATGTTGCTAATAGTAATGAAAGACCTAAAAAAGTGTAAAAACTGCTAACCAGAATAATTAATTGTGGTATACCATATTTACGGAAATAGGATACCGATGATATCTGTGTCACCAACCAAACCACTTCATTTTGTGGCTCATAGTACGGCATAACTACATAATTGTATTTATTCTATATTTTTATGTCAGTATCTTTCTTAAATGTTTTATGTTCAATAATATACTGTCCATTTTCATGTACAGTAAGCAGTGACATGCTTTTTCACTTTTCAGTGTTTGTTTTGGGATTGACGTGCCCCAGAATCTATTCATTGTACCAAGTTAGTGATAATTATTCTCTTTCTAAAATGGGACAACCAGTTTACACTTTACTACTGCCTGACCGTTATAAACAAATCAAAAGTTCTGATTATAGATAATCGTTACTTTTATAATTATGTTGTCTTATACGGTAACAAATTTGGCATAACCAACATTGTGCTTAAAATCTCCTTTACTGCTTAGGTTTCATTTTGACGTAGCTGCAAATCATACCTGCTGTTATGCAAGAAGCAGGTGTATTTTCTTTACTAAAACTTACAAGCTGTGAATTGACTCAGTCAGTCAGCTACAACGTAGAACTTCGTACGTACATACATCAGCTCAGGTTGCCAAACCGCATTAGCACAGTCGTAGAAGCATTATTAGTAATAGAGAAGAATGGGGTTCGAAGACGTTATTCAAGAATTATAATTCAGTAGAATTAATTAAAAAAAAGATGAAGGTATCGAGGAATCCAAAAGATTAGAATATGAGGAAAAAAGTTGATGTATCTGCGCCATTGCGGACGAAACAGAGTCATGTCACTCAAATTTACTGACCACTGGCTACGATTATCATGCAGACAGAACCCAACCAACTAATCTACTCCTGTTAACATGACCCAGTCTCATCGTCTGTGACTTGATGAATTCACTTGACCGCAATTAGCTTTCTTCTAGTCTACCCGTACGCTTGGCATCATCACTCGCGGAGGCAGTTGGTGGTTGTGCACTCATGACACATGTCTTAACCACCTCAACAGATGAAGATTCACTGCCTCATCAACTAATCTGCCATCCTTACCTAGTATATAACCCAGATATGGCCTACTCGACCATCCCTAGGTATACGAGGAGTGCTTCGAAGACACCTGTGGTCGAATACTATTAGCCTACGAATATCCTATACTCTTACTAACCATGTTTCACGCACTTAGAGAGTAGGACCGATCGAACTGCCTTGCAGTAGGCTCGTCATTTGGTTAGCAGTTTGGTATCTCGTCTACGCTGTAAGTGACGCAGGTTGGCAAAAACCAGTCAGACTTTCTGCATCCCTGCTGAGATTTCGTCACAAATCAGGTCATCAGTCTTGATGAGACTCCTGAGATAAGTGAAGCGGTCAACACGCTCAACTACTTCACTCTCACCAGTTCAGGTACCGATGTAAGTCAGTCCTGAAACAACATTTTGCATTTTGACGGGGAGAACCGGAACATGCTTGTATTGTTAGAGGACTCTGTATTTCGTCGCCGTCTTCACCAAACAAAACAATATCATCTGCATATCCTAAGTCAACAAGTGAATCTCCTGGTGGAAGGTCAATTCCCGAAAAGTCAGATGAAGGTGTTATCACTAAAAGCATGCCTACGACAAAGTTGGATGAGAATAGAGATAGTAGACAGCCCTGACGGGCACCACTTGAGGTACTCACCTCTGATGACTATTCTCCATAAGCTCTGGTTTTATCAGTTGTATTCAAGTAGAGATCCTGTACAAGGTTAATATACTTCTCTGGTACAAACACTTCCATAGAACCTTACGATCAACAGAGTCAAATGCTACCTTAAGGTTAAGGAATACAAATATTGTCGGACGCCGAAATGTGTGTCTGTGTTCTAAAACCTGGCGATGTTTAAATATATAGTCTATACATCCAGATCCAGGTCTGAAACCATCCTGGTTTTCTCTAGTCTGCTCTTTACGAGCACTAGTTAGGTATCGAAGTACTATTGAAGCTAATATCAGTTAAACTGATTCTTCTCTAACTGAGACCAGTCGGATGAGATTACACCCACTTCCCAGGTGTCTTTCATTTTCACCTAGTCTACCTACCTGAGCAGTAAAGTCCCCAGTCACTATTACTAAATCAGAGCGCCTAACGTTTTCGAGGAGGTCCGCAAGCTTTCTGTGAAACTCACCTCATCTGATATGCAGTCAGTAGGAGTGTAGGCAGATACGACGGAAAGGCGACGGCGAATGTCCCTATATGCTCCGTTTAGTTGGACAGCATACAAGCGGCTCTCCACTGGGATCCAGTCTAGGAGAGCTTGTTATGCTTTTGAACTTAATGCTATACCTACGACAGCCAGGCCCCGAGAAGCAGCATCAGGGCTTCCAGATACGAGAAGAGTCAATCGATCTGGTTCTTTATTTTGACATGGTGATGTCAAATTAATGACGCTACTAGGATTCTGTATGAGCGTTTCGAAGACGCAGCATACATCAATGGCGCGAGATTCTAAATTCTTTACTAAGGAAGCCTGCTGTCCTATTTGATACAATGTCTGGACTTGAAAAGTTCCAACATGTAGTTTGGAACGGGGTTTCTGGGCACCAGGAATAACGTTTTGTGAACTCAAAACCTTTGCATCATCGGAACGAGTTGACAAAGGAAGGAGAGAACGGTTGGTCGTGGAGATAAGGGAGTTATTAGTAGGTGTAGGTCTGACATGAATGGTTGCGTGTGCTTTTACGGGTTTCAGGGCTGATGTGTCTTCCAGGTTGCTCACACCGTGGAAGGGTGTTTCTTGAGGGATCTGAAAGGGAAATTAGATTAGCGTTAGTCTTGGCGACCCTGAAGCGTATTGTTTGGATTTGGGATATATATCTATCAATAACCCAATTTCCTCTAGATTTTGGGCTCTAGTATTACTTGATACGTCACTTTTCACTCCATATTCTACCTATTATTATTACAACAGTTACTTTGACTTCAGTAGTGCTTATGTGAAATTCATCACATTGTAATACGATAGTTACTAACTTGCGCTGGGCTGATGCGGTGACCCTGATTGAGTGAATACAAACTAGTCCCCGATATCCTTTGTCTGTTACAGCGTTATGAATCCTGGTATAAACCAAAAGGAAAATAATTACATGCACTTCTCAATAAAATCAGAACATTTTAAGCAGCTATCACAGTTCGTTCAACTTCATTAATATTTCATCATATAATTATTGTCCTAACTGATACCGACTTATACAAATGAATTATACATGATAAATAATCTTGCATACTATTAAAGATATTTTTAAAGCAAGTAAATGAATACATTTTGTTTTTGGGTAATTGATCTACTAACTATAGTTTATAATTGCACATATTCATCGACTTACGACAGTTAACTTTAGTATTTTCAGTGGTTATAATGTATGATGGTAAAGCGCATTTATCTGGGATACACTTTTACCTTTGGTTTTTTATATTCGTTACTGTTAATATCGCGTAACAAATACAAAAAGCCAATCAGAATCGCGTTAGCACTAGAAACCATAAGTCAGCTCTTGATCCTTATTGACTCACAACTCGGTAGCTTCTCCCTCTCCACCCTGCCTTTTAGTCCAGAAGTCCGTAGATAGCCTCCACAAAATTCCTTATATTTCAAATGCACATAGATTTTATAATAAACATGCCAGTCTACATCACACCATATAGTGAGAGAATACATTTATACATGAGCTAGCCTAAAATTGCAGTAATAGTAAGCTAGTCATAGATTAGCAATAGTAAATCATACTAGTTAATACGTTAATCCGAAGATTATGTCAAAAAGAATATATATATATATATATAACCTTAGTACTGTATAATTATACTGTAAAACTACACGCAATAATAATCCATAAATCAGTCCTGGAAGTTATCTTCCTGATTTATCAGTTCTTTCTGAATATGACCATTTGGTTACAAAGTTTAGATGAATCTGACTCTATTCCTTATATTTTTAATGTATCTCCCATTATTCGAAATAAATAAATGGGGCTTAAAGTTATTTACAAATTTTCGATACATTTGATGTTTAGTTGTGTTTGTATACTTTTTATATTTAAGAATATTATAATGTTATCCGTATTTGTAAACTTTTTTTAGTGCGATCGTTGTAATTCAGCGACAGCAGATATCTAAATAAATAGGCGACTCCATATGAACTAAAGCCATCTGTTACGTAAAAGAGCACGGTCGGTAACCTTGTGGTGACTTTTGCACCAACCACTAAATTCTTTATCGATCTAAATAAGGTGATATAGTTTCAGTGTGTAATTGATTGATTGTTCAGTAAATACACTTATGTTTGAAAGTCTCAAGTCAAACCTCTACATTTTTAAAATTTTACACTAAGTCCTGTTTTATGTGTAACTTAATAAGTTATTTTATATAATTAGTCGAAAATTCTTGATATGTCATGTATAATGTTCTATTTTTTTTGTTCAGTTTCAGTGTAATGCAGCATTCAATATGGCCAAAACAAAAATGATAGATTTGCGTAAAATGTAAATGTATAAACTTCTTCAAATCAGAGTTATGGATATTGCTGTGTAAAATTTTCTTTAATTTTATGTGCTTAGTTTTTCTAATATCAAAATGGCAGCATTAGAATGGCGAAAATAGACCTGATTCATGGTGTGATACCAATTAGTGCTCTTGTCGTATCTCATATCATTTTGGTTTTCCTTTATCTTGAAGTTATGTCGCCGTATCACTTTATTTTATGTTTGAGACTCAGAGAGAAGAGCATCAAAGGTCTTCCGAAAACTAACCATGTAATTGTCGTCCTGACGATATTGTTTGTAGAATATATGGTGGACTGATTAACACTCGATTGGTCGTGACTTTTGAGTCAAAAACCTAATGAATATGATTATAGATTTCAGTCGAATATATATATATATATATATATATATATATATATATGCTGAACCTCCCAAATAATCGATTGAGTTACTAGTTAAAGGGTAGAAACAACAATGACAACCAAAGCTTCAACTACGAAATCAGTTTATAATCTTTCGAAATGTTTGTTAATAATAACAAATGTCAGTGAGCAGTTACAATAACATTCATCACATTTGTCTCCATGCTAGTGCTCCACTGAAAGACCTTTACGGTTTTGCAATCGAATTCTCTGCTAAATCCTAAACTTTTGACAAGTACTTATTTATTTAACATCTTATAGTGTCATTGGATAACGAATTCAGGCACAATTTGAGATACATTTACGATATACTTGATTCATTATAAATTGTTCTATTTAACTTTTCAGGGTTGAAACTAAAATCGAAAAACTTCGTGGTTCACCAAAAAAGTGAGATTTCTGCATCCTGTCGACAGTGACTTATTAGTTTTTGTAACACCCATCTAAATGACATAGTTGTCTTCAGTAATTGTAATGTGTGCATATTCTTCATATGATAATTTTTCCTCTTTAAATCTCGTTAAGTATTGTTTTACTTTACACTGAATCATGTAGCAATACTGCTGTTGTGTTTTTGTCATCTGTCCCGTAATTAATAAAAGAATTTTCTCCATAAATGAAAAAGCGTATTTTATACCTCTTACCTCCATTCGTCTTTATTTTGTGTCTCAGTGTTGCTTGTGTCTGTTTTGTTTGACAATTATTAGTGAATCAAAGTAAAGTGGTTTATTCCATCTTGAAGTGCTATTTACTTCTCAAGTTTGAGTTTAGAGTTACTTAAACATCTTGTCTGCTCTTATGATCTCAAAAGACGAACGTAATGCGAAACTAGTCAAGCTTCCCTGTTTCTAATTTTTTTTTAATTGGGAATATACAGCAGCCGAATGTTTTGTACGTATTTAAAATATGCCTAATTCATCTTCACTTAAGCCCTGCAAAAAATTAGCCAACTCCTGTACCCAAAAAGTGCCGTGCTTATTCAATTGTCCTGCTTCACATATGTACAGTGATCACTAAGTATCATTTTGTAATCGACTTGATACTGGACAAATCACAGGTAACCGTTTTCGACTTCAAATATTTTTGTCTAATAAAACAATGAAATCTTATCTGATTGTGATAACTACAAGCAAGTTATACATTCCCATTAGTAAAGCACCATACGATAATGATAAATTCACTCTGATATTAATGACAAAACTTAAAATCCGATTCTCTAAAACTCACTTTAATTCCTTGTGAATTTAGAAGAAAGACCTGTCTTTTAGTGTGAATATGAGTGACGATGAGCAGTTACATTAGGAAACTCACGTCTGACTAACTGGGAAGTTGATCAAGGCATAGATAAAACTATCTTCTGAATAACCTATGTAGCATTTCCAAAGTATCTAACAACCAGATCACCAGCTAAGGCACTGAAAGTGTATATATAGAAGTCCCTGTAAGGGTGCTCCACACTCACTTCAGCAAGATTTGCGAGGAAGAACAAGTGCCAGTAGACTGGAAATGAGGACATTTTATCAACATACCTAAGAAAGATCTCAGTAAGTGTGAGAATTATTGAGGCATCAGTCTACTCTCAATACCAGGGAATGTTTTCGGCAGAGTGTGGTTAAGCTAAATGAAAGATTGACTGGACGCCCGAGTTTGAGATCGACAGGCCGAAGTCCACAAGAGCCGATGATGTACTGACCAAATCGCGGCACTACGAATCATTGTTGAACAATCAACTGAATGAAACTCATCAACTCCCTTGACTAGAATAAAGTATATAACAACGTTGATAATAGAACATTATAGAGACTTCTACAACAATATGGTGTGACTGAAAGGATTATCAACATTATACGCAACTATTGAAATGGACTTCACTGAAAATCGTGCATGTAGGGTAGTTTACATATTCATTTCTAGTAAATACCAATGTCATGCAAGGCTGCTTACTCTATTCTGGTGATTGACTGAATTATGAGAACCTCAGGGGAAGCAAGGATATAGTGGATAACTTGGATGCATCTAGACGATTTGGACTTCGTAAATGATCTCGCTTTTCTATTCCGCACAGCAATAAGTGCAGATAAAGATAGCCAGTGTGGCAACATTCTCTGCGACAGTAGGCCTCAACATACCGAAGACAAAAGGTAAGATCCTTAAATACAACACAGTGAGCACTAACCAAATCACATATCTGAGCAGCATCATTGGTAAACAAGGCGGATTTGATGTAGATATGAGGACACGAATTTGCAAAGCGCTGGAGGTAAAAAGGACACAGTGCTGAAATTACCAGACTGCATCGTGAGGAAAGCCCTAAGCTGGAATCCTCAAGACAAAAGGAAAAGAGGTAGACAAGGAACACGCTGCTCCGAGAATTGGAGAGAGAAATAAAAAGAAAGAATAGCAGTTTGGTAGAGCTGGAAAGGAATGCTCAAGACAGAGATGGTTGTAGAATGCTGGTCAATGGCCTATGCTCCATGAGCGGTCATAAGCTCAAGTGTTTCCGAAGTAAATTTAAATGAGTGGACATTTCACATTCACTATCAGGTTAAAGCGCCGAACATTTGATTCCTATTTTTTATGTCTGTAGAGGTATCACTCTTCTAGCATTGATAAGCTATTTCATGTTTGAGCATTTATAGTATCACAGTCGCAGTGCATATGGAAGGAATTCAGTTTTAGAGTACTATGAGAAATATGAATCGGTTAAGGGTAAGTCCAAGAGCTTATAGGCCTTACTTTTACATAGTGTTGACAACGGTATATTTTGCGCCTATTTTTCCATTTACAACAGAAAACAATTGTTGCGAAGCATGTATAAGCTTCTCTTATTAGATATGAATAACTAAAACATTTAAATACTGTTGAATCGCATTCAAAAATGAACTTGTTTGGAACAAAACTCTTATTTAATCTCGTAAACATATCTCAGATGATTAATTAAATATAAAAATATTCGAACCTGTAGACCCTTTTTAATTCGTACAACTGCGCGCGTTATTTTTCGAGTAACGAACGTTTCTCCACGCCGAGGGCTTTCATGATTGAACAGAATCCCATTGCATGCAAACATTCCATAAGACTCTCGATAATTTACCACAATCCAATACGCGTACAGTTTAGCAACGCCTTACCCGAACGCACAGAAAGAAAATTACATCATTATGCAAAACTAAATGTGACAATTATTTCTATTATTTCAAATGGTTAAATCACTATACCTTCATAAGTAGTGACAATTTATTTTCTCTGTAAACCCAGTAAAGGTTTAACTGAAAATCATTTGTTTCGTAACTGTGATCAGTGAGACAAAAGTGATCGATTGTAGACATCAAGTTGAAACTTCAGAATAGTAAATGAGCGTGAGTTATTTTGCAAATCAACGATGAAGGACGTCATCATTATGGTAAACTTATTTTAAATTAATTCAGAAATATCGAAGTGATTTGCATTGACCTAATTTGAAACATCGAAACGGCAACTAAAATGTAATCGCTTCAATCAGTCGATTGAAAATGTTTTATCCAAATAATGCTGTGGTCAATTATTTGAATACGAACAGCTCGTATACTGAGTTCACTTTTACGAAGAAAAACGCGATTGGTCAAATAGCACCGTTTATTATTATAACTGATAGTACCGATGAAAGTTTTCTCGAACATTTTACCTACTCGCACTTTTATAATGTGTTACCTCACTACTCGGTCGTCATCTTGCTTTTGCTGCTTTGTTCCTCGCCCGACTCTCTGGCATATTTCGATACCACGAGATTCCCTGCAAATACACTTATTTCATCTGGACCATCCTGTCTTCTTTCTTTCAATACGAGACTTCGAGTAATGCTTGGGAATCGAATGTAATTGGTTTACATACGTGTTCATACCCATTTGACTTGAACACCTACACGCTATTAGATTAACCCCTCAGATTTTGAGAAGCCAAAATTCTGTTCTTATTATAATGGTTGATTCGTAAATTACTACTGATAGCTGCAAATAAGTCATTCAAATGATAATTATCATAAAAGTCATCACAAGTTTTCTATTTTGGATTCACAGTGCACAGGCGACTAAATACTAAACTCAGAGAATGCAAGTCCAAGATTTAAAACAAACAGGGATAAGGTCTGGGTGAAATAATTAGTTCAAGCTCATTAGTTGTAGTGAAAATCATGATAAAGTAGTCTTATGGACTCAAAAAACAACCCAATTATATTATAGCACTTGATTTTCATGAACTAACAGATCCAACCAGATTTGTGTTTAGAACAGAAACAGTTTTAGAAAGTGCTTTCACAGAGTGTTTAGTTTATGGATGTGCTTCGACTTGAGAGTCAAATAAAATGTAATAACCAGTTGGGTGATTGCCTGTGAAATCCTCTCTATGTTCGTTTTTCACGCCGTTTTTGTTGAATGTAATCGTCAAGTGTTGTCATTGACTACTGAAATAAGGCATGTTGTCAAATAACTAGATACAGCTACAAAAATTGACGACTTTAACATTGAATCCAGTGTTCGTTGATAATCCAGCGATATTTATGGAAATTAATTTGTTCACTATTCAAGTTGTTTACAATTACCAAACATAAATGTTTGTATGTGTATTCGTCATCACCAGTTTTTTGAAGATTTAGATGACTGTTTCTTTTGGGGGTTAACTTACTAATACAGGCATCTCTCTGAAGTCCATGGAAAATAAGAAAGGTAGTAAGTATTGACATTGTGTGCAAATGTTGTACCGGAGGGAATTATAGGCAGAGTTTTGGAAGAATTCGTTAAGTATGTTAATTCTGGATGTGTAATGAAATTCGTCTTAAGATTCTTCCAAAGTCAGTTAGCTATTCTCTGGCTTTTAACACATCTTTTTTTCTCGAAATCTTAATATAGATCAATCCACTGAAGAAGGAAAAACATCGTAATCATTTGAACTCAGGGAACCTTCTTGGGTAGACGTTACTAATTGACTGCAAAACAAAAAAGAACTTTGGAAAAGCATTTAAACTTTGTAACATACTATTTAGTAGGTGAGTAGATTTACGCTTGAAATAGGACGCAAACTGTAGTAAATGTATTCAAAATCCTGGCATACGCAGTTATATTTAATACATATAGATTACTCTTTCTTAAGTGTTCTCTAGCTTTGATTTTCAATATGTGTGAGCATGTATTCTAGTCAGAGCGTAGTCTCCTCCGGTCTCATGTCCAGATCGGCAGACAACGCCGCCCTTGACTTCGGATGAGACTGTGGGCTCACGAGGTACGCACGAGACTACCGTCTAACGTTCCAGGTGCCGATTACGCCTACATGTACGCTTCCGTGACTAACCTGTCGATGAAAAACGGATACGGCACAGGACTTTATCCCCATTTTACAAGCAAGCTACATCTTTTTCTTTGTCTATTTTATCCTGAGCTCACGCCTCCTACCATCGCCCTTCTGGTACCGTCGACTTCACTTAATTTTAAAGAAAGCTGGCTTGATCACCCACGCTCTCGTCAATGTACTCAGTCGACTTTTTGGTTCCGAATCTGTCTGGTGTGTCTTCGGATTTGGTTATTATGGTCACTTCTTGCTTGGCTCCATGTGGTTTCGTCCTACCTCTGCAGCGTTTTCTGGTCCGAATCCCTGAGAACACAATCTTCAGATTCTGGATGCAAAACGCCCTAGTGTGGCACGCCAACTCGACCTGCAGACATGTCACGTTACTCCTGGTACTGTTC